TCTGTGTAGGATGGTGAATATATTCTGAGAAATATATTGTTAGGCAATTTTATCATTGTGCTAAGGAAGCTAACTCCTGCAAACTAAGATAGCTCTGACATCACTTGGTATAATCCTGCAAGACCACCATCACATTCGCAATCCATCACTGACAAAAGTGTCGTCACAAGATGTATGATTAAGTACAAATTAGGTACAATTTAGACCTACCATTCATTTTGAAGTTTGTGTTTGTCAGTTTCTGATGGTGGTCGCATAAGTTACATCACCAAGTGATGTCAGAGCTATCTTAGTTTGTGGACGTTCACTTTATTTATTTATTTTTTTGGAAGGTCACTTTATGATATTTGCACCATGATGAAATTGTGCAATTCTCAGAATATGTTTACCACCTTACATCTTTGTTCTTCTGTGCCACTATTTCTGCCTTCTTTCATTTTTGATATTTTCTAGAGCATCATTTTAATTCTTTGTTGTTTCTTTACTATATTTTAAAAATACATTCTATAGCATTTTCCCTAAAAATTACAATTAATTTAAAACAACATATTTTAGAGTAATACCGACAAATTTAATAATATACAAACATCTTTCCAATATAGTTCCATCCCCTTTTTGCTAGTTTGTGTGTTATTGTCAGACAAGTTACGTCTTTATAAGCCTAGTAACATAGTTTTTAAGCTACTTCTTTGTATCTTATCTTTTAAATCATGTAGAAGGATTCTGTTACTGTACATGTCTTTTACATTCTGATCATGTGGTGCCTTTACCAGTGTTCTTTATTTCTTCATGTGCACTTCATGTCCACTCGCTGTCATTTCATTTCAATCTGAAGGACTCTCTTCCATGTCTCTACTAAGGCAGGTTTACTAGCAACCCGTTCTCTGGTTTTTATCTGTAAATTTCTTAATTTTGCCTTCATTTTTCCAAGGCCGCTTTTCTGAGTATGGAGTTCATGGTTACATTCCTTTTGAGCAGCCTGAATATGCCATCGTATGGTCTCTCGGTCTACATGCTTAGATGAGAAGTCAGCTGTCACACTTATCCAGGATGACTTGTAAATACAAGTGCCTTTGTCACTTGGGCTTCTGATCCCATCGATTAGGTGGCTCATAAACAACAAACACTTATTTCTCATAATTCTGAAGGATGGAAACTCCAGAATCAAGGTACCAGTAGTGTGCTGTAAGGCCTGATTTTTGATGTATACATGTTTCTCTTGCTGTATCCTCACATGGTGGCAGGGTGGGCAGCTCTCAGGAGCCTCTTTTTGTAAGGGCCGTCCTCCTCCCATTACCAAGAACTCTGTCCTCACAAGTAGATCATCTCCCAGGGTTCCACTTCCAAACACTGTGACATTACACACTCTGTAACAGAGAGCTTTACCACAACGTGCCTCGGAGTGTGTTAGGGTTTGTGCCTAGATGCCCCCCAAAGCCTCACACGATCATTTGGAACTCAAATGACGTGGCTGATTCTCGGGTATGTGATGTGAGATTAAGGAGGTGATGCTGAGAGTGGTTCATGGTGTATGGCAGGACTAAGGTTGCCCCACCCTTGTAATCCTTCTGCCTCAGTCTCTCAAGAGTGCTGGATTTGTAGGTGTGCACCACTGTGTTCAGCTTAGCTTTTAAAAAACATATTAAGCACCTGCAAGCAGGTGCAGAAGCCAGGAGTTCAATCCCCAGGTCTGCCATGCCGGCCCTGCCCCTGGGGCGCGCTGAGACAGCAGTTGAGACTGGGCATGATGGTGCGCGCCTGTAATCCCAGCTCTTCAGAGGCTGTAAACAGGGGGATCACTATAAGTCCAATCTAGTAGTGAGACCCTGAACACCCTGTAGACCTTTCCATAAAAAGTATTTATTTTTTACTTTTATTTTTAATCCTGGAGGTTGAACCTAGGTCTTTATGCATGGGAAGCAGAAACCTTACCACTGAGATATACCACCAGGCCAGATTATTTAGAATACCTTTTTTAAAATATTAAACCTTTATCAAATTTAGTGAAGGTTTATTGAGCACGTGTTATCATGATGACAAAGAGAAGACATAATTCCTGGCCTTTGGGAACTGGCAGTTGCAAGAAGGGCAGAAATTATAACAGGCTATAGTGATACAGCCCTGCAGACACAAAACCCCAGGCCAGATTTGGGTGAAGGAGCGGTTCATTTCGAAAAGATCACCTGAAGGAGTGGCCAGCTCTCCAGGGAAGTTTGCAGCCAGATCATGGTAACTGGGGTAGGGAATGCACAGAACCGCTTAGGCCCTCACCCTCACCCTTCTCAGATCTGACAAAGTAGCCTCCTCTGGCTGGTCCAAGCTCATGTCCTGCAAGAGAGGAGCTGCCCTCTGGATGCAGGACATGCGTGTGACTGAGTGTGCTTTCTGGAGCAGTTCATGTGTCCGTGTGTGAGAGCTGAAGGGAAACAGTGCTGCGCCAGAGCAGCTCAGCCTGTTGGGTTGCAGCACAGGAAAGCTGTTGTTGTAGGGTCACCTTTCTCGCCCCGTCTTTCTGATCTTTAATAAGAGTTTTTAAAAATTAAAAGCAAACTAAAGATGAAAATACTATAAGTCTGTATCAGTTAGGGTTTTACTGGAGAAACAGATAGATGTAACACAAGAAACAGATACAACATAAGATGCATAAATGTATAAGAAATTATAAGATTGGCTTGCAGCGGGCAGCCACAGCGTCTGATGAGGAAACCAGCAGAGGTCGTCTGCACGCCGGAGACTGAAGGATTCAGTATAAGGTCTAGAGCTCACTGCAGTTGCAGAACCCTGTATCACAAGGCCGATGGGTCTTTGACAGAAGGCAGACGAGTCTGTGAGGGGAGGCTGACAAGAATCTAAGACGGAGGCCTAAGAGTCTGCACTAGAAACCAGGAGAGGACATCCAAGCTGACTGCAAAGACTGCAGCTCCTCCAGGAAGTGGCACACTATCCTTCCTCAGTTCTTTTTTAATATCCCTTTAGTGCTGAGTCACTTTCGGGTGGGTCCTCCCTGCCCTAGAAAGGGACCTCCACTCCCTAGGGCATGGAATTGCTGAGCCCATTTAGGCTTGTAACTTCTCAAGTTCACACAATGTATCAATTACTGCAATCCACCACAACTTGGTAGCTAGCTATATTTTTTAAACCAGTGTCAAGACAAAGATGTGTATAACTGCACCTAATATGTTGTAACATCCTGTGTGCAAATGGAAACACGCTAATTTTCTTACCAAAATAGGTGAATTTTTTTCCTTTGATGTCTATGTTTAATCATTTTATAACTTTAACATTTACATAGGTTTAATAATCCTTAAGAACTGGTATTAAATCTACCAGTATTATAATAGAACCATATAGGGATGAAATAGCACATTTATAATATTTTTTGTAGCTGCTCGTGTGGTCATAGCTAGTATTTAGAACTATCTTTTTTTTACTACCCAATTTGTACTTTTTTGGCCTTTAGCAAGTATCTCAGCAGGTCTTGGCTTTTCCCCTGGTAGAGTGATCCATACCTTTGTTTTTGAAGGCTCTGGACCATTTGTCACTGTATTAGATTATTGTAGTTTTTATTTTCTTTAATAACAGGGCATGGTAATATTAAGAGGTACCCTGGCTTAGTTACTTTTTACTCGTTGCTGAGACAAATACCCTACACTCAAAATGAAGGAAGGAAAGGTTTATTTAGCTCACAGTTACTGGAGGGTTCAGTCCATATTCCGCTGGCTCCAAGGCAAACAACAGCAGTTCATGCGGCAGAGAACAATGAGAGCAGAGGAGGAGCAGCAGCTGCAGCCGCGTCCATCAAGCCTCTCTCTTCCTCCTGAGCTGACTGCGAGGACCAGTGCTCCACAGTGAAGATCAGAGCTCCAAAGTAGCCCACCTGCCAAGATCAAGCTCCTCTGAAGACTGGGACTTCACCACGGAAGCAGGGCGGGGCAGCAGGAAACCAGGCAGGGGGCAGGAAGCCTTTCTCAATTCCTGGGCACTGCCCACCCCCAGGATGCCGGAGCTGATTCAGCCAAGTTGACACAATGTACCAACACATACCCCAAAGGATTTCTTGTACTCTATGTACATTTTTTTCTCTATCGTGGAGTAATAAATTTTTGATAGTCTGGGTCAATC